TACACAGTCGATTCACTTTGCGGTATATTCCACAAAGCGCTTTGAGACGTGATAAGGCGCTGTATCAAATCCAAGTATTATTATAATTAGGCTTAAACGCAGAAAAAAAACCCGCAGTATTTGGCACTGTGCGCGAGGTGTAAGCGAGCTCAACAGCGTTTGAAGTTATAAATCTTGAAAGCAATGGGTTTCGAAGCTCCGGGAAATCTCATTTCCAAATTGATTTTCTATTTATCATTCATTGCAAAATTTCTTTTTTTTTTTTTTTCGGTTGCCATATTCCCCCCCATCCCTCCCTCCCTCCCTCCCCACGCGCCTGAAGGCTGGTGCTATTGTAACCCAGTCGGTAATTAACACTCGGATGCAATCTCGAAATAAAGAAATGTGCCTTAATCCTCGTCACACATCTGCATTGGTGGAAGTGGGATGGAATTACATGGGAATCCTTCAGGCCGTTTCTTCATACAAATTACACGATCTGTCCAATTCACCGTGAATTCTGTGAAGGGCTTTCAGATATCTCATGGACGTGATAAGGCACTGCACCAAATGCAAGCATTCCCCCACATTCCCTTCTCCTCGCTCCCTCCCCCATCTCCCTCGCCTCCTTCGAGACCCTCCTCTTTGACTGAGCCTTCAGCCGCCCTCCCCGCCCTCCCCGATCCCGACCACCCCCCACCCCACCCCGCTCCCCACCCCACCGCCACCTCAAGCTCGGGTCCAAACCTCTGACTGTCCAGCACCTTGGGATGTCCTCCCGATGTGAAAAGCGCTGTGTAAATGTACTTTTGCATTGTATTATTATGAACAATAATAATTAACAATAATCTCTATACTGTGATGTCTTAACACCGGTAGAAACCCCCACAACCACTCCATCTCCCCACACCCCCCCCCCCCACCACCACCCCCACACACAATCACACACATACACACACACACAACAGCTTAACTGTTGTCATAGTAACACAGCGCAGAAGATGCCACTAATCGCCAGGATGCAGATATTTCGGGTTAGGAGCTCGCTCGCTGTTTTCTGCCGCAATTTCATGTGACCCAAAAATTGAAGGCGAAGCGGCGAGTTCGAACCGGGGTCAGACTGCGGAGCTGGGAGTCTGCGGGGTGTGGGGGAAAGATTTGTCAGCGGGATGTCCAGCCGTCTCTGGGAGGCCACTGTTCGGTCACAAAGTTTTTCGCCCCCAAAATATACGGCTGTTTCACATTGCGGTGTATCCCGTGAAGCGCTTTGAGACGTCGTCTCGAAGACGTGATGAGGCGCTGTATCAAATGCAAGGATTATTATTATTATTATTCAATGGTCTCCTCTCTCTCTCGGTATCTCAGCTGATTAAAATACCTAAATAAAGCATTTTAACATCACCCCACACCACCTCCCACCCACCCCACCACACCTCTCCCCCGGCACCGAATATGGAGCTGAAGATAACTTGTAGATGTATCTCCCATACTGCCAGGAACAAGGCTCAACTGGTCCATGGAAGTTAGTCACTGTATATCTGTATGTGTGTCTGTGCATCTGTGTGCGTGTGTGTGTATATGAACGTAGTGAAATGGTTGACTTTTAAGAGGTTTTGTTGTCTTCTGTCCTCAAACCTTTCTGCAACAAAAGACCTCGTAAACGTAAGACCCACGAGAACGCCCAGAGCTTCGGGTGATGGAGACCCTTCAGCCCCTTCTGACTTTATCCTTTCAGCAGCGCCCCCACCCTCCCGTCCCATCTCACCCACACCCAACCTCCACCCCCACCCACCACCCCTTTTGTTGTTGAACCCCAGGCCTTCCGGAGGTTGCATTCGTGCTTTACAGCTGTTTCTTCACAGCGACTGGCTGACAACTAGTCCAAGGAACTAACAGAAACCCGGAGGGAACTGCGCAGTCAAACGACTGCGTCTTGATAATTGGAAGCTGTTCTTGTTCTTGTCAATGTATTTGTCCGCAGCCATTTTGAATGTAAAACATGCCGAGCTGCCTCAAATCACTCTCAAGACCTCTCCGGATTTGATACGCGGGCGAGCTCTGGAAATGCTCAGCATTTATTAGCTCCTGAGCTAATATATATTGCGCCTGATCATTTGAAAGTAGAGCTCCACGTCGGCTCTCGGAGGGCACTTCACGCTCTCGGCTCTCACTTTGCTGCAGCCCTGGAAGACCGCTGGGTTGCGAGTGAGATGTCAGTGTTAAACTGGGATCACCTCTGTGTTCGTTGAATTGGACGTTAAAGATCCTGTGGCCCGACTTGAAAGGTTGGGGTGGGAGGGGGGGGGGGGAGAGGATGGAGTTTCTCTCCTGGCGTCCTGGCCAGTAATCCCCCTCTCCCACCCTCCCCCACCCCTTTTCAAGTCGTGTTACGTTCACTTACAAAACACAGTCATTGCACTTTACAAGGAATCCTGCAAAGCACTTTGAGACTTCTCGACAAGACACTCTATTATGAAACGCAAGGGTTTATTATTATTATTGTTAATTAAAAGAAACATCTCCCTGGCACTTCCTATTTGCTTTTCCTCTTGTTATGAGTTCTTACGACACTCTGTGGTGGAGTCCTGTAGCTCAGTGGTTAGAGCATTCGCCACCCAGGCGAGAGGACCTGGGTTCGATTCCCGGGGGGCAGAGTGAAACCCTTTGACAAGTTTCCTTACTCCGCACTCCTCTGTTTAACTAGCAATGATTATACTTATTATGTGTTTGAAGTGAAACGATCTTTGTCAAACATAAGAGCCACATACCCAACGCAGCGACAAGTGGTCTGAAGTTGGTTTGTAAATGCTTAGGGCTGTTTAATCATTCTCGCCTGCTACATAGCCTGTGTCTGCATTCTTGCAGCGTGGGCTAAGCTGACATATCGGCCTCTGTGTGCCAAACACACAGAGCTGACTCTTCTTTTTGCTGCGTGGAGCTATTTTGGCGACTGAAGGCAAAATAATCTGCGGAATTTCACGACTGAATCCCGTTAGAGTTCCCCGAGCGAGACACCAGTCACCTTTGGGATAGAGTTTCAGAGAGCGAGGGCGGAGTGGCCGAAGGTTTGCGCCTGTTACGGTGGGGACGTGAAGCATTGAGCAGAGCAGAGGGAGCGGTTGGTAGGGGGGGTCATAGAGAGGTAGGGGCAAAGGCAATTCAAAGTGAGGACACGGATCATGAATTAGACCCCCTTTGATGGTGCGGGAGGGGGTGAGGGATTGGTGTGGTCGAGGAGCAGTGGAATCACGGGAGCTGCAAAGCTGGAGGCGTTTGCTCATTCTCAGCACACCTGTGTTCTCTCTTGAAGCCCTTGGGTGTGCACACGGCAGTTTATTGATAGGCCTCAAAGGAGCTCAAGTACTTATTCACTTTGATCAATGGGTCAATAGAAACTTGATCCTGTTGATGATCAGGACCTGGTGCACTGTTGGCTGACTCTACCAATAATAATAATTATATTAGATGTAGGGCCTTATCACATCTTCAAGACAGCTCAAAGAGCTTCACAGCATCCACCGTAAAGGGAACGACTGTGTGTTTTGTGGGCAATGCGTAACCGGTGAGGAGCGGGGGCTGCGATGAATCGCGGTGCATCGATTTGTCACAGAGACCAAGCGAGAACGAGGTGGCTTTGTAAAGGGGGTGGGGGAGAGAGAGAGGGACGGGGGCAAAATAATGCATTCAATTCAAAAGAAATAGAAACGCAGTGAATAGGTTTTTCGCTGCACTGATTCAGGCAGAGTGTGAGAGCGCATTAAAGGTGACTCCTTACTGCACTGAACCATAAAAGCGCTATATCAAATGCAAGGATTATTATTATTATTATTATTATATTCTGCTTAAGCTGGTTTGATGGAGATTAGCTTTTTTTTTTGCACAGCGATTGCTCGGATACAATAAAAGACGGTGTGTTAAACGTCTCTAAACTCCGCCGGTCCGGACCGTAAAGTTACCGGTCATTTATGGATCCCGCCTTCAAAGTCTCCTGGATAAGCTCCAGAGTCTTGGCACAGTGGTGCTCAAGGCTGACGGATTCAAAAGGGCTTCACATCAAAGCTGTGGGCATCGCCTCTTAACCTTTGCCTCTCTCTGTGGAAGTTGGCTCAAGTGAAATCTTACCCCCAACCTTCTTCCCCCAACCCCCAGCTCTCTCTGCTCTTCTCCCCCACCACCACCCCACCCTCTTGCAAAGTATCTGGAGATTGTTGGCCAGGACACTGCACTGGGAGAGACTCCTTTCTCTTTTCGAGGAGTGCCATCAGTCACATCTCACCCACCGCCCATCTGCCAGCACCACAGGAGCTCAGCTTTGTGTACCAACAGCTTTGCATCTCAGCAGAAAGATCAGAAAGTGCCAATCTCTGCCTGAGCCCAATAATTCTCTCTCTCCGAGCAACGAGGAAATCTGTTTCCCTGGTATTTGATGTCCTGGTCTGTTTCAGGCTCACTAACTCTTAATTATAAGAAGAATAGCTTGCTCTATTCCATATTAATTAGTTTACAGCGCAGGAGTTCAAATACGCACGTAAATCCTGCTGAACTAAATCATTTTGATACATCCTCCTGACGTAAAAGGCGCTATTAAATGTAAGGATATTTATGAGAGCTCAATAGATCTCAGCAACATCGGGCGTTTAAACAGCAGCCTTCACATCGGGGCAGCATCTCAGAGCGCTTTAGCGGTGGTTGAGTTTGACGCCGAGCCAGGGGGAGGTGACCCATAAGCACGGTCGAAGAGGAAAGATGGTGGAACATACATATGAGGGAGAGGGGAATGGAGGGACATTGGAGAGGAGAATAGGAGTTGCAGGGAGTATAAACTAGTTTATGGACCAGTTGAGACAAATGGCCTGTTTCCTTGCTGTATGTCGATGTACTGTGTTGTACTGTAGATACTTCCGATGGGATTCTGACTTGACAGAGTGATGGAAAGAAAAGCCTGAAGCAGAACATTGTAACCTTGAAACTGATTTACCGTCGGAAGCCGTGCCATTGAGAGTTCAACTCTCTCATCTTCTCCTGACTCATTCCTAGTTTCTCCTGACTCCAAACCCATCGCCCACGCTCCCGAAAATCTTCTCAACCCGGAGACCAATCTTAGAGCTTGGCTAACGAATCCGCATCGAGTGGACGGGGACGTGGGATTGAGTGCTGTAAGACGGATGAATAAAACTGACGGTAATTTCACCGTGACGTTGATTTCGCTGAGATGGGTATAAATGAACCGTAAGTGGTTTGGGCCTGAAATCTGATTTCACGGTGATTGGTTTCCTCGGTAATGAATGAAAGCAAAATCCATTCACGCTGCAGGTGGGGGAGGGGGGGGGAGAGAGAGGAGCTGTGTCGGAATCATCTATTTTGACTGATTAATTGATCGGACCACGTGATTGCTGCAATGGATCCATCCTGAACTATCAAGAGTTGGTGTTCTGGAAGGTTGAGATCAAATGAGCCGAATTGGGGGCCATTCTTGTTTTGCTCACAGAATACGCAGTCAGTACGCTCTACAGTATATTCTGTGACGCGCTTTGAGAACGTCTCGACGACGTGATAAGGCGCTATTTTGAATACAAGGATAATTATGATTATTATTATTATTATTCATTCCAAATCTCTCTCCTAATTCTATTCATCAACAGGCCGTTGGCAACTAGGACCCGAATTCCTCCGTCTTCAAACCCTTTAACTTTAAGCTGGCGGTTGTAAGCAGGGGTACGAAGTATGATGTGATAATTATCACATACCGCATTTTTACGTCCAGTTATTTTATTTTTTGGTGAGGGGGGGGGGTCCGGACACGGTCTGCCCCCAGCATTTTCTGTACGTTGAGATGAGAGCAGTAGAGGACACAGGATGTCTGTTTTCGTCCTTTACAAAGAGATGTACACCATTAACACCAGCGGGCACTTGGTATTAATCATTAGCTGTACAACATTAATCAGCAGAGAGATGGGGGGGAATGGTGATTATCTATGACAGCTGTATAATTTTATGGCATTTCAGTTTTAAAACCTTTCCGTTTACGGTTAATCATGTAACGATCAGTTCGAAAACCAGACGCGTCTGTTTGTGGTTTCCAACCCTTGGTATCCGTCCCTCTTCCCCCTTCTTCCTCCCACCACACTCGCCTCCTCGCATCCCCACTCCCTCTCTCCCTTCCTCGTCTCTTCCTGTTTGTAAACGGCTTCTTTATTTCCTGACTCAAGTTTAGGGCTGTAAAGTATTGACGTGAGGTCTTTTTATGTCTGGTACAAAAGCAACGTTGCTGACTTTACCTTCACGAACGTCACTCATGATGCTGAGCTGAAACCAGGCGCCAGAGATTACCGTAGTACGAGGAGACTTCCAATGAATTGCCCTGTTTTGAATCTGGTTTTGCGTGACTAGCGTCCGCTGTTTCGCTAACAGGATTGAAAGGCAAATGTTTTCGTTCGATTTCCATTCGCTCCGCAAACGGCCTGCTACTCATTTTCCCAGAATGGGACAGTCACTCCGCTCGACAGCCATTAGCCTCGGAGCACGTTTTCAAAAGTGCGTCAAAAGCCGAGGCCTCATTCGTTTGTCGTTGTCGCTTTCCCTTCTTCGCTTACGTTTTCTTCAATCCACGACTGGTTCGCGTGGGGACGCTGCTGTGAGCAATTGGCTGCCGCGATTCGCTCACAAAACATGCAGTCACTCCACTTATTACCGTATATTCTGTGAAGCGCTTTGAGACGTCTCAACGAGGTGATGAGGCGCTGGGCCAAATGCAAGGATTATTATTTTTATGATGAGGTGTTGCGTTTCCATTGCTTGAGCCCTACGAAGTGCCTTGTTCGAACACTAGGAGTATGAGTGAGCATCGGTAACAGTGATAATAATAATCCTTGCGTTTATCACAGCTTCGCGACGTCTCAAAGCGCTTCACAGAATACACAGTACAGTGAATTGACTGTACACAACTTGCGGGCGAACCGCGGCAGCCAATTGCGCACAGCAGCGTCCCCACAAACACTCGTGGATTGAAGTGACCATTTTATTATTTGTTTCTGTTTTGAGGAATTATTACCCCCGGAAAAGCGATCCGCCAATCGACAAACAACCGACTTAACTCTCGGTAAACAGAGGCGTGTGGAGTAAGGAAACTTGGCCAACATTTCGCCACTGCCCGGGGAATCGAACCCGGGTTTGCGAGCTGAGTCCTCTAAACCCACTGAGCTACAGTGCATCAGTTCTGATAGAAAATGAATCAGATTGCATGTCATTTTCTGAATGGAATGCAAATAATTATTGGAATTCAGCTCGGATAACGCGCCTGTCAAGGCGGAATGTTTAGCAACTTGTCGTCTGGCGATATTTAATGATATTGCGATGCATGAAACGCATGCTAAGTACCACCTGCATCGTTCACTGCTGCTATCAGCGCAAAATCACAGGGAATAAACCAAACGTGGCCATTTATAGTCTCGAGCTACATTGAAAGTCGCGCCTGGCTACACTTTCCACAATCCCGCGCAATTAAGTTGAAAATATTCTTGAAGATACGACACAAGTTACAATACGAGTCGAGTATAAGCTACGAATACAAGTAAAAGGGCGAATTGCTTCCTTTCTGTCTTACGGACCAGAGGTTCAAAGATGCTCTACATTCCTGTAACTCGAAGCACAAATCCTTTTGCTTGAACGTCACTTGTGTCCTCTCAAGTGGGACATTAATTTCCCCCTGTGCGAGCGTGTGCGAGTGTGCTTGCGTTTGTATGCAAGTGTGTGCGCGCGCGCGCGCGTGCGTGCGTGCGGGTGTTTGGGTTTGCGTGTGTTTGTGTGCACGCGCGTGCAGGTGCTCGCGTTTGCATGCGGTGAGTGTGCTTTACTTTGTGCGCGCGTGTGCGCACGTGTTGAGTGTATGCTTTTAAGTGCGCGGGCGTTTGCACGCGTGCGTGCGCGCGCCCGCGCGTGTACGTGAAGAGAGACTAGAACTGAGGTTATCTTGCTCAGAATGTAGAGCAACGGAGACAAACATTGACGTCTGTGGGGTAATTCCGTTTCGTTTGCTCAGAATTTCTCGGATTAATTTGCAGCGACTCCTGAGCTCGCACCACCCAGAGCAGATATTTGGGACGTAGGCAGCAGTTCCAGCTGCTTAGTTATGCATTTCCTTCTCTGATTCTATTTTATTCATGAAGCACTCGGGAGAACATCCGATAGATTGCAGTGGTGTCGTTAGCAAGTCAATTTAGACCTTTTATGTATTCTCGGGTTATTACCTCTCCACGTCAATGTGGCTGACTTGTCTCGTTTCAGCTAAACTCATTTTTTTTAATCCCAAATTTTTCTTAACCATTATCCATTCCCTCCTCCTGCTCCTCTGCTCGACACCCACCCCTCCCCTCCAACCCGCCCCCCCCCCGCCCCCCCCCCCCACGTGAGCTATCGTCGTGGCGCCCACGTCTCGGGGACGTGAAAAGGCTCTATATCAAATGTGAGCATAATTATTATTATTATTATTATTATTCCTTTCGGAGGGGGAGGAATTGGAGTTGACGTGAGTGGCAGCGAGCAGAGATTGGGAATTATTGTAACACGGCTAACTTCTCTTTCCCAGCTTTCCGTCCATCGCGGGAAAGATCGTCTTAAGAGCCTCGGGAGGACATCTGTCGACATGCCTGTGGCTGCTGCCCACACTGATTCGGGTAAGTTGTTGCGCTCGCCTTCTTGTCCGCGCGGGTGTGGTTTTGTGTGCGTTGGATCCCGTCTATAGGCCTTCCTCTTCGCCCGTGACCTCCTCCCCGCACCCCCCACCCCCCCCCCAAAAGCTCGGCGGCGCGCTCCGCCACCGTTAAGCGCTCCGAGACGCCGCTCGGCGTGAAGGAAGCTCTGCAAACAACGTGAGTTATCGTCGTGGCGCCCACCCCGTCTGGGGAGCCTCACCCCGAGATAGTCAGGTCGTGTGTTCACTGGATCCCTGATCTGTCGCATCGCAGCCCCGAGGACTTTCTCTGTTTCCCTCGTTAAGGAATCCTGTCGAGAAACGGCGCAAACTGGACAATCGACCGCTACCTCCCAATGCCCCGCTCTTTCCCCCCGGAACCCTAACACATTGCTCCCACTTCATACGTCTGTCCGATTCCCCTTTCGATCCCCACTTCGCTTGCCACTCGTGCTGGGCGCGCTATCGGTGCTGTAGTCCCGTTTGATCCACAGGTCGTGTTTGACAAGTCGCATGTCTGATCCTGCGTTGGATTACAGTCGCGCTGTTTGCGTTTCGCCCTTTGCTATTGATTCATCAATTGATTGTCTCTGCCCTTTGCTGCTTAGCTCCTCGTAGTCTGATGTTATACACACAGGGTAATGGTCCGGAGGGGGTGGGGGGGTGAGCAGAGGAGCAGGATGAGGGAATGGATAACGGTTAAGGAAAGATTCAGGCTTAGAAAAAAAAAAGATAGCAAATGGGGGAATCCAGAAGAGGATTGAGGAGGAACTGCTTCACGTACAGGATAGCGAGATTGTGGAACTTGTTGCCTGAAAAGGTGGTTGAATTACACCAATAATAGTAATAAAAATAATCCTTGCGTTCGATGCAGCGCCTTATCACGTCTTCGAGACGTCTCAAAGCGCTTCACAGGATCTACTGTAAAGCGGAGTGACTGTGTATTTTGTGGGCGAATCAGATCGATGCGTAGATGCGTCCACGAAGGAAGCTAGACCTTCGTGTGAGGGAGAGGGGAGTAGAAGGAGGGTGTGTGAGGGAGTAAGGAATGGGTGAAGCCTCATGCGGAGTATAATATTTCACCCACAAAATACACAGTCAATTCGCTTTACAGTGTGTCCTGCGAAGCGCTTTGAGGCGTCTCGAAGACGTGACAAGGCGCTGTTTTCTTTGCCGTTTCTTTTCGGCCATCTATCTGGCTGCGAGCGAGACCTACCTCCCTGCGTTATGTCATCAGCTCAGCTAAAGCCGTTGCCTCGGAAACGAATATCACAGAAGCATCTTCTGCAGCAAAAAAGTCACGGACCCGAAAACGAAGCACAGGGATCCGATTGACTGGGTGAAAACACGCTCGCCGTGTGTGACCATTAAAATGTCTGTAACGGTCATCCTTGGCCAGTCATTGTAAAACGGGCGGGGACTGATGGAAGCTGCGTGTGTGTGGGTGTGTGTGGGTGGGTGCGCGGGCGTGTGTGTAGCGTGGACTGGGCTGAAAAGGCAGCTGAGCGCCGTACGTACTGTGTCTCTCGCGAGCGAAGGCATTTACTCGGCCCTATTGAACTCCGACATTCGGATCTCGTCACCCGCCGACTGCTTGATTCACGCCTGTGACGCACGTTTCGTCGGGTCATCTGTCCCCAATCGCTCAAGGAAATCTTCTTGTCTCTTATCGCCACAAAACATCCGGTCAACTCACTTTACAGTATATTCGGTAAAGCGCCTTGAGACGTGCAGAAGACGTGATACGGCGCTGTGTCAAATGCATTATTAATTAATATTATTTCCCCTTCCCCTCCCCACGCGCGGACGATTGTTTAACGTGAAACTAATCGCTTTTGGTTGAGTGTTCAGGAGCTGTAATTAAGGCCGTTCCTCTTTCTTCTGTGATCTCTTTCTCTCCTCAACTCCCCGTTAGTTAGTTTTTTCCCCTTTAGAATTGGGTCATCTGACAAGACCATCCTGTGCCAACACGCTCCCCCCACCCCCGCGCACCCCGACTATTACCGACATCCACCCCCAGATAGAATAGCTCACTTTCACTTCAAAAAAAAATAATCATAATAAATTGGTCACTTTCAATCCAATTTGTGGGGTCGCTGCTCGTGCGCAATCGGCTGCCGCGTTTCGCCCACAAAGTACGCAGTCAATTCGTTTTACGGTGTGTCCTGCGAAGCGCTTTGAGACGTCTCGAAGACGTGATGAGGCGCCGTGTCAAATGCGAGGATTATTATTATTATTATTCACTTTGTCGCTGTTTATTTGTGGGACGTCACTGTGCGCAAATTGGCTCCTGCAACAAAATCCCGGAAGAGTGCCTTTGAGTCATCTCGACCGGGGTGATGAGGCAGGACGTGAAGCGCAAGGGTTATTTTTCTTACGGTGAGTGCTTTTCAGCGAACTGACAACCTAACGGGTCCCACGATCTAGTCTGTACTAACGATTCATCTCCTCTAGAGGGTGTCCCTGTCTGGCTTCAGCACTCAAAGGCGTTTTTGCCACTATCTCCATCTTTCAACGTGTGAACTTTCTCCCAAACGTAACCCTAACGCTAGTCTGGGCTTCAAGAGATTACACCAAGGCTACCCCGGCTATCAAACTCCCTTCTCCTTTCAAATGGTGCCACGGAATCGTTAACGTCCACCTGAGGAGGCAGACGGGACTTTGGCACAACACGACAGCGACAATTTGCATTTACACAGCGCCACACCCCCTCCACACACACCCCACCCCCCCCCCTCTCGTGTAGGGTAGCGACCCAGAGCTCTTGACAGTGGCGAACATCCAGCAGGGGGCGGGGTGGGGAATGAGGAGGTGACCGTAGGCACGGCCGGAGTGGATGGTCTTCAGGCGCTTATAATATAGTATAACATCTCATGTGAAGGACGGAACCTCCAACGATGCAGGGTTCCCCCTCCCCATCCTAACCCCAGCAGCGCTGCGTTGGAGCATCGGCTTGAACTGCGTGATTTCCAACCCCCGACACTGCCGCTTAACCCCCCGGATCACGGGATACACTGTAAAGTGGAGTGACTGTGGGTTAGGGTATTTTTAGTAGGTCAGGGTATTAAGGGGAGAAAGCAGGAAATTGGAATTGAAAGGATTAGTTGATGCACAGATCAGCCATGACCTAATTAAATGCCGGAACAGGCTCGAAGGGCTGAATGGCCTTGTTTCCTATGCGCCTATATTTTGTGGGCGAAAATGATGGGTTGAAAGTAAACCAGACTGCGGCGAATTAACAATGGGCCGGGGGGAGGGGTTTTGGGGGTGAGAGAATCTGAGCACCAGAAAAGCGTTTCGAAATCAGACCGGTGTCGGTCGACTTGCTGAAGCCAACGTGCTTTTTGAAGGCAATCAAGTTGTGTATGAAGTCGCGCAGATGTGCGCGGCAAGTAGGAGTTGTGCAAATGTCTAGGTAACGAGAGGGTGCTACTAACATCTAGATCTGATGAGACGTGTGTAGGTGTCTGGGGGTGTTGGTGGGTGTGTGGGTGTGTATGAGTGTGTGTGTGTGTGCGGGTGTGGGTGTGGGCGGTGGTTCTGAGGTTGTGCTGTGAAGCGATGATGGGGTTTGAGCTGAGCTCTGGGAAGGGATTATCTTACACTATGATTTAGTGAGGGGATGTCAGCAGGACACCACAGGTTGCCAGACAACCAGATTTTTTTGGTCCGAAAAACACAATTACAGTAAAAGCACTCTCATTCCTATTTTAACCTCCGCCTCAGGCCCTCCGTCAGACCTGTGTGAAGCTCTTCGAGATTGCTCCCACCATTAAAGGCCCCACATGAGTGTGAATGATCATTACTTTGCTGCTGTTAGAAGCATTGCCTGTTAGAATAATCCTAATAACCCTCGCATTTGATACAGCGCCTTATCACGTCTTCGGGATGTCTCGAAGCGCTTTACAGGATACACTGTAGAGCGAATTGACTGTATGTTTTGTGTGTCTCAGTTGCTCAGAAGCTATCAATGTTTCCCTGTGAATTTTGTCAGGTTTACTAAAGCAGTTCGGACGATCTAATACACCACAAGATTTAAAGTCAGGGATAATAAACCCTTCAAAAAAAAAGAAGAATTTGGGTCAATAAATCCACGACTGTTTGTGGGACGCTGTGCGTGCCATTGGCTGCCACGTTTCACCCAGGACCTGGGTTCGATTCCTGGGCGGTCAGGACAAAATGTTGGGCAAGTTTCCTTACTCCACACACACACACCCCTCTGTTTACCGAGCGGTAAGTAGGAACCCGGTTGGTTAGTCGATTGGCAGATCGCTTTTCCGCGGGGCTAATAATTTCTTTGAATTCCTTTGACAAAAGTCCCTAATGAGGTCTCGTTCGTTGCTTTCCAATCGAGTGTTTGTTTACAGGTCTGGAAGAAACAAGTGTGAATTGGCACCAAAAATAAATCCGACTTCGCACTTTGCCATGTACCTCTTCACGATCCTTTGAAGTTTCAGACATGACGTTGCTGCTAATTCACACTTGGGGAAGAAAGAAGCTTCAGATGTTGTCCGATCTACAAAACCCCTCGACTATCCAGCGCCTTGGGACGTCTTACTAGCGTGAAGGGCTCTATACGAGTCTAATTTGTTGCTGCTGTTGTTACAGACCGAGACATAATATTTTACCACAGGGTGTTCACAAAGTCCTGTTACCCACATGTTTTTTTACACACACACAGACTAACCAACAACTGAGAGAGAGAATAATAATATAATAATAATAATAATAATAATAATAATAATAATAAGAGAAGAAGAGAGAGAGAGCGCATTCCATTCCAACAACTTTTCATGTGTAGATGGGATGCATGGAATTCTCAGCTTGGTTCGAGGACTCTTTAAGCAACGGTGATGGGTTTCTGCGTGTGCTGACCCCTGAAAAACACCCGGAAACGTGTGGAAAAACTCTGATATTTGTATTTGGAAGTACTTCATTGTATTCGTTTCAAGTGTTTAACTCTATGTAGATAGCCAGAGGATC